CGGTCGTTCATGCACGGAGGGGGGTATATACTCCTACCCATGATGCCACGGGGCTAAGGGTAGATGAAAATATCTGTATTTCCAACCTTGAACAGGGCAACCAGTACAAGTTCTTGGGTGTTTTGGAGACGGTGAGGTAAGAGGAGAGGATTTCGTTGGAAGGCGCAGCCAAGGTGTATCTTCGCAGATTGTCTTTCATCTGGTCAAGTCCCTTGCATTACCCGCGTTGGGCTACCTGATGTGGACACAACAATGGCCGGTGACAGAGCTTAAAAAGTTGGATAGAGAAGCTCGCAATATAATTGTTGAGAATGGTGGAAAACATCCCAGCGGGTCAAGTGCCATTTTATACCTGCCAAGAGAGAAGGGAGGGAGAGGCCTGCGTTCGATCGAGATAGAGTACAAAGTAACGAAGATAAAGGCGGCAGTGAAGTTATATAGTAATAGCGACCCAGCCATGGCGATGGTTCCTGAGTTTTAAGAGAGAGCGGAAGAGTTAGGACAGAGTTCGTTAGTTAAAGGGGCAGCAAGGTATGCAGATTTACATGGGTCTCCAGTGGCAGCTGGAATAGCCAAGTCCAGCTTGCATAAACGTGATAGTGGGGAGGTGATAACAGCAGAGAAATTGAAGGTAGAGCTGAGAAGGGTTTTGGAAGAGAAAACATGGGAAACGGTGCATGAGCAGAATTGGCAGGGGAAATTACTCTCTGCGAGAACAGAAGACGAGAGTCTTACCTTCAACGGATATTATTGGTGGCTAAGCAGTTGGAAACAGTGCCCAACACATACAGTGGCGGGGATGTTTGAACTCTACGAGCAATTAGCGACCTTAAGATTTGAGGACAGCGTCTTCTTCTAGGACTTCACGGCATATAAAGGCCTGGGGCGAGAACGCCGTTCTTTGCGCGAGAAGTTAAACTTAAGAAAAGGTAAACAAGACGCGAACTTTTTCCAGCCCCTGGTCGAGAATAGCGCCCTTCAGGAAAGCGCGGGACGAACTTCTTTTAAGTTTTTGCGTGGAAATCATTAATGTGGATGAATTTCTGTTGTTGTATGATGTTAACAAGTCGAAAAATCTACTGTATCGTTATTGGAATTATGAAAGATTTACATTGCAAGATAAAAGTGAGGTTGAGTGTAAAACAGACTCTCGCTTCGAAAAATACGACATCCCTCTCTTGGTTGATGTTCTTGGCTTACCTGAAGAAATATAATTAAACTGCTGAACTTAGCTGGTCTCTGTTAAAGTATAAAAAAATTAATAATGGAGGCTTTCGAAATGATTATTCTTTGTAGTGGGATGAAACTTGTATGGATAATAAAAATGACAGTCTTAATTACGTGAGACTCAAATCACTTTAAAGGTAAGCCGAGGAGACAAGCATTTCAATATATCTATTCTCAAGCCCCGGAAACAGCATAAGAGTAACCAGTAAATTACCCATTCATGAATAAATCGGTAAAACATGGCAAACAGGAGGAAAATGTATCGAGACTTCAAAAGAAAGATTGCAGCGCTCGAAAACTTTTGATTAGGCTCGCTGTAGAAACTGCGAGTTTGACTTCTGATTATAACTACACTCTACTTACATCAGCCGACCTCTCACATGACATGAAAAATTGATGCTGAACATGATAAAATTTCCCATTCTGTTGATAAGGAAAACATTTGGAGTCTACTTACTCGGAACTGCAATGCATCGTCTATCTATGAAAAACAACCACTGTTAACAACAGAGTATACCAAAAAAACAGAGAAAACGGCGGAAGAAATGAATAATTTGAGCTCCAACACCAAACACATACTCACGTTTTGTGCACGACGCGAAATTTAAAAAATGGCGTACTCACCACATGTGAAACGCCGTCCCATTCACACACAGACATGCGCAATGTCATTTTTAGGTGAAAATGAACTTCCGGTGGCGTCCTAGACAGGTGACGTCCTCAAATCTTAAGGTCTCTATTATTACCGACGAGGTCGTATGCCTGCTAGAAAACGCACTGACACAACGGGTGAGGTGAGGTGCAGGCTATGTGGTAAGGCCCCTGAAAGTGTCGCCCATGTCTTGGCTGGTTGTACCGCCCTCGCACAGAATAAGTATCTTACCCGACATAACGCAGCCTTGAAAATACTTTTCTTTGAAATTCTGCACATTGTAGACATAGTCCCACCTTGGTACTCGCCATCGAAACCGAAGCCAGTGTACGAGGTGAACAATGCACAAGCATTCTGGGACGTTCCTTTAACTGCGGAGCACCAAGAAGTTAGAGCCAACAAAATAGATGCGCGTATAATTGACCATGAATCAAGACGACTCATCACGCTGGAGATGAGCTGCTCGTGGATTACAAATAGGGGGAAAAAGAATGAGGAAAAAACCTCGAAATATGGACCGCTTCGTTGGGAATTAAAGCGGAAGTACCAAGAATATGAAGTGAAACAATATAATATCATAATGGACGTATTAGGGGGATGGTGTCGTGACTTAAAAGCTGAAATGAAGGAGTTGGTCGGAAACAAGAGTAAGGGAGTTTTTCCAAATATGCAGAAGGCTGTGATCTCGGGAAGACTAAATATCTCTCGGACATTTAAAGTTGTAACATGAAAAATGAACATCGCATACTATTTAACTCTTTGCCTTCAAAAATTCTGTGGATTATTAGAAACTTAGGAAGTGATCGTCACTGATTAACCCTTTCATAGCCGAAATAAGTAATAGGTTTTTAAAGAATTTATAATTACTATTTTAGATTTGGATACCCGAAATAGCTCATCTTTTTTATTTCTCGAGGGTTTTTTTTTGTTGTTCAGTATATAGATTTTGATTTCACTATAGTTAACGGGCTACGCTCATGCGCCCCGTCACACTATTCTTATTGTATATAGCATACAAAAGTTTTAAACTGCTGCAGCATAATAATAATGATCTTTATTTAGCAATAATTTCCATAAAATCCTCTACAATACAAAATATTAACAGCGCAAAAAACGATCCAAAATAACTCACTTTCGGCTCACATCTACTCCTTTTCTTTAATGTCAAAGTGTCTAGAAAACTATAAATAACGGAGTCAAATCTGAACAGATTCAAAGTCTAATAATGTGATAAGTAAAAGCATGTCTAAAACTATACAGAAAAGAAAAAGGTGAATGGCAAATCTAGAACCTTATATACAAGGCTGCTAATATTATTATAATAATAATAATATTAATTCTTTTAAAAATTGGTAAATAATTAGATATATGGCTTAAAATTGTAAATAATTGCTATCATTATTAGGCCCTATCCGCACTAGCGACAAAATTGTTTATTTAGACAAATTTTCTGTCATCACCAGCGCTTCACAAGTGCGGACGGCTTGTCGCGACCTGGCAAATTTTTTCCGAAGCGGACAAATTTTCAAACGCACCGCCGACAAAATTTGTCCTGGGTAAAAATTTGCCAAAATCGACAAATGTGTTAAACTTGTCAATCAGTTGTCAGAAAAGCTATTACGGCCTGCCTGGTATTGGTAAGTGAACTGAGTTCAAATTATCTTCTGAGGCATTTCCTGAGAAACGCTGAAAATTGGATGCTTTAACAGTGAACGCGTAACGTAAAGATGAATCCCGGCAATTGAAATTTAAATCCAATGGCAAACTATGCCGGTCTGCCCTATGAGCAGACAAACGCTGTAGGACGCTGGAACGTTCCACCATACAACGATCAATTGAACAGTGTTCATGCAGCTGGGCCAAGCTACAGCAATGGTGTGTTTTTCCAGTCCTCACGCCAGTTTCAATCCAACGAAACAGAAGTGGTCGTACAAGCGCTGCAACAAGAAACACAAACGCCTTCGCAAAACAAAGGAAAAGGGAAATCGAGTTACGACAAATGGTCTAAAGAAGAACATAGTTTTCTGGTTGATCTGTGGTCCGAAAAGCACGACAGTTTAGAAAGCAAAGACGCTAGGATAGCGTGGCAAGAGATATGTCAAGAGATCGAGATCAATTTTGGAACGAAAAAGACAGTAGAAAAATGCCAGAGGAAAATCAAACACCTTATCGATAAATATAAGGATGCAAACGCCTGGAACAAAACTCAGAGTGGAGACCAATTAAGAAAGTGTCTTCTATGACAAAATTGATCGTGTTCTTGGGACAAGAGATGTTGTTACCCTTAAGCACGTGGTCGAAGCAGCGACACGTACCGATTCTACAATCTCGAGTCCGACTTCCCCAAGTACCGATGATCATGACTCTGTTGCACCTAGTAGTAGTTCTGGAACTCCAGGCCCACAGCCAAGCACCAGTAGGACAAGTGGAACAAGTAGTGCTGAATCATCCAACGCCGTAAACCGCCCCAGCAAAGCCAGGAAAAGAGCGGAAGAGAAAAATACCCGAAGATG